GTTTGGTGGTGGGTCCGAAGGTGGAGGCATGCTCTGATGACGAAGCACAGTGACCTCGTTCTGTAATGTACGGATTTGCGCAATCAGTTCAGCTTCCTTTTGTTGGAATGCCAATTCACGCTGCTGGACTTCTAGTCTCAACTCGGATCTGGCTTGTTCCACTGCTGCGGCTGCTGCTGCCTTAGCGATTGCCTGAGCCTCTAGAACCGCAGTCTGAGCCTGATTGACAACATGCGTTCCGAATTGCCTAGCCTCTTCCCTCGCTTGACCCTGGGCCTCCTGGACCACTGCTTGGGCCTGACCATAAACCGTCGACTCGAACTCTCTAGCCTGAGCCATCACCTCGTTAGGATCAAGTCCTATGCTGATGTTTTGTTGATACAACCTCACTCCCGAGCTATCCTGAAGCCCAGACCCTTGGGAACCCTGGCCGGTAGGAACATATGGAATGCTCCGGGCTGGCGCAGCTCCTGTGCGCACAATGGGGCCATCATCTGGGCTCCGGTTGTGTGGAGATTGGTTGGCGAATGGCACCAACGAACCACTACCTGGGCCTTTGTCGGAGGCTGGGGACTGCTTAAGGTGAGGTCCTTTTCTTACTGTTGGCGATGGGGAAGAGCTATGGCTACTACGCGACCCTCGGGATGACCTGGAGGAAGCTCTAACCGGCAATGCCCTAACCCCACTACTGGATGAAGTAATCTGCAAGGAGCTTTGCTCTTCTGACGACATTTCGTGGGACATGATTCAAGCAATTGGGGACTTAAGCGGGGTTGGCGACTGCCGAAACTCCCGTGTTCTTTTCAATCCCTTGCGCCCTCACCACCCAGAGATGGCGGGAAGGACAAGGTCGCACAGCTCTGTGCGGCGGGCAGGGTGAAGTACCAAGCCGTTCCACCCGTAGCGATCCCAGCCAGAAAACTCAGCACAGATTGACGGTTTGTCGTCCACGTGGACGACTGGGATCCCGTCGCTCAAAGATGAAGCTGAAATCGCCGACCAGAGTCGCTGGGCCTTGTTCGGTCGCCTGATAAAGAGAAGCGGCAGGCTACGCACGTTATACCGCGCTGACACTGCCACTTCGCGCACGTACTCCAACGCGTGCTCAATCAAGCTTTCCGTTGAACATTTGGAATTGACAAGGATCAGTATATTGCTGCGTCGAGACAGGTTCTCGAAAAGATAGCGGGACTGCAAGAAGGTCCTATCCAAAACTCCGTGGTAATCAAGGGAGAGAATATGGGTGACGCCTCCTTGCTCTTCGACCGCGCGATCAATTGCCGCAGCAAGATAAAGTGGATTCTCGTCGCACCGGAGCAATGAAAGTGGCTTGGGCGGCGGACCAGACGGCTCAACTGGACGCTGCTTTGGCCTGGCCTTCTGCTTGGGCCTCCGTTCTGGGATCTCAGGCGCAGCAGTGGGACCTGTTGCCGAAATGTGCTGCGTTAGCGCTGGTCTAAGGGGAGCAGAAGGGGGTTCAGGAGGAAGCGGCCTACCGGAGCTTAGCCTATCGGAACCACTTAGCACACTGAAGTCAGGCTGGTCACGAACAGAAGGCGATCGCGACCTGCGCTCAAGTGAGCTGCCCAAGTGGGAAGATGAAGAAACTGGCTCGGCGGATGAAGATGCTGGCTCTGCTCGCTCTGAAGTGTCCAAAGAATCCAAAGAAACCTCGGCCAAATCCTGTAGCGAAACGGGCTCCTGCAACACCGAGTCTGAGTCAGACTCTTCCTCCTCCTCCTCCTTCGGAAGGAGAGGAGTCCCCTTATAGATCACGTACCCAGACGCGGAGATCTGCGTAAGCCGCGCGCTTACTTTAAAGAACTTGGCGGCCAATGCCGGCACCTGCCCCGGAGGCTTGTTGAATACTTCCTCGGCGAGGTTTTCCAAACTCTCACGCCAAAGCTGAAGCAGCTTTATATGAAGTGAGCGGCGCTTATTGTTGGCGGCCCGGCCACCTCTAGAAGCGCGGGTGTCGGCTCCAAATGCCGCAGCAAGTCCAAAAAGCTCTTCACGGCGATCCGGTGACAGCATATACGGGTGAGACGAGGAAGCCGATTAACTCCAAGTCCCAATGCAAACCCCCGTGCCGTTAGAGTGGCTTGCAAATTTACCCCCGTGCCGGAACTGTGGCTTGAAGTTGATGTATCCCCCAATGCCGCTACTGTGGCTTGATGTTACCCTTTGCCTGAATCGTTGGCTTAACTGTCCCTATGCCAGAATCGTTGGCTTAACTGATGGCCTATCGGATGATGCAGGTGACTTCGTCGGAAAACCACACTCAACCGACAGTACAACCAACCACAACCAACCAGGATGCGGCCGGTGGCTGTGTGCCAACACGGCAGCAGAGGTGGAAGTGCTTTCGATTGTTCCAGAATCCCAAATCTTATGAGATCAACCGAAACCAGAAATCGAACCTTTGATTCAATCTCAGCTAATCCTTCCAATCACCACGAGGCCTTGCTACCCTGAAGTCGTGAACGGACCTTTGGGCAAGGTGATTGGATTTCGGGTGTTCCGGGTGGCAAGGTGCCGACACCGGCTGTTCGGGAAGTCAAGGAAGATGTTGAGGATAGCAGGGGCTGTTGGCAGTTGCCGAATCAGCCCTGTACCTAGAGAATGGTCCAAGCTGTCTCCTCGACGCAGCAGGCGGAGGAGAGAGTGCGCGCCTCGACACACGAAGTGGAGACACGAACAACAGCTATGGGAAATAACGAGGAACCTGAAGATAGATTGGTACAAAGGCGGTGTCGTCTATGTACCTAGGATGAGATGCGTGATGAATGCGATACAAGGCAATCGTGAGCTCACCTCTCCTGTAGAAGGAGCGAAGCAAATTACGCACAAGCCTGCGCAACCTCACACGGACTCTAACCCAACGTTGGCGCCTGGCCAAGTATGCAGGAAAGAACCTCCTTAGGATGAAGATTCGGATATCGTAGTACAGCTCTGTGAAGAAGTAAACCACACGTTCCCAAAGCGTAGGCCAACCCTCAGGCGTGGGCATACACTAATGATTCTGTGGTTCAGCAATATGGAAAGCTCCCTGTTGGCTGGGTGCCTAAGCAGGGGCAGAGGTTGGCAAGAATGTGAAAGAAGGACAGACTCTACCCGGTGGTTGGCTCTACCTACACGGGGAGTACAGATAACAGTGCAAATATGGAAAGAGATGTGGAATGGCGGGTAGGTCTCTCGCAGACCAATGACACTCCGATTTCAAGCTCTACCCTAAGGGAGCAATATGGACGGTGCTATGGCGTCGGTAGGCTCCTACACTACCTACACCAAGCAAAGCTGAGGCTGTTAACCAGTTAATTGCAGGGCAATCTCTGATTCCAAGACACAGTGATAATAACGCTTCTTTTGTGTCTTGAGCCAAATATCGGTGATAACGTCTTCGAGTGAAACTGCTTCAAGATGATCTACATAAGAAGGGCCTGGGGGCTCGTGATTTCTCAACTTACACGAAGAGTAACTCTGTTTAGGGCTTGGGTTTTGGATTTAGGGTTTAAAACAAAAAATGGGTTGGTAGCTTATAAGATGTTACAAGAAGAGTAACTCTGTTTAGGGCTTAGGTTTTGGATTTAGGGTTTAGGACGGAACCGGGTAGGTAGGTTATAAGATCGTACAAGAAGAGTAACTCTGTTTAGGGCTTAGGTTTTGGATTTAGGGTTTAAAACAAAAAATGGGTTGGTAGGTTATAAGATCTTACAAGAAGAGTAACTCTGTTTAGGGCTTAGGTTTTGGATTTAGGGTTTAAAACAAACAATGGGTTGGTAGGTTATAAGATCGTACAAGAAGAGTAACTCTGTTTAGGGCTTAGGTTTTGGATTTAGGGTTTAGGACGGAACTGGGTAGGTAGGTTATAAGATCTTACGAAAAGAGTAACTCTGTTTAGGGCTTAGGTTTTGGAATGAGGGTTTAGGACGCGGCTTGGTAGGTAGGCTATAAGATGTTACAAGAAGAGTAACTCTGTTTAGGGCTTAGGTTTTGGATTTAGGGTTTAGGACGGAACTGGGTAGGTAGGTTATAAGATCGTACAAGAAGAGTAACTCTGTTTAGGGCTTAGGTTTTGGATTTAGGGTTTAAAACAAAAAATGGGTTGGTAGGTTATAGGATGTTACACGAAGAGTAACTCTGTTTAGGGCTTAGGTTTTGGATTTAGGGTTTAAAACAAAAAATGGGTTGGTAGGTTATAAGATCTTACAAGAAGAGTAACTCTGTTTAGGGCTTAGGTTTTGGATAATATAGGGTTGCGGACGGGACGGGGTAGGTAGGTTACAAGTTATAAGATGTTATAAGAGGAACCAGGAGAGGATGCTCCGGTCCCGGCATCAGTACGGTAAATCCCCACAGCCTGAACCCACAAAGCCCCAAACAAACACCCTAAAATCCCTAAACCCTGAAAAGCGAAACTCCCTAAACACACACTCAACCCTAAAATCCCTGCACCCTAACACCCCTAGACCCTAAAACCCTAAACCACAAGTCCCCTAATATCCTTGGAGGCCCTTCTTCAAGTGATACTCTGTCAGCTCAAGTTCCTTAAGGGTTGGCAATAAGCCATTCTTGTTCGATTCCAAAGCTTGCTTCCACACCTTCTGTCAATGATGGACTTTGCTGCTGCTTGTGCGGCTCCAAAGGGCCCAGAATTTCGACAATTGCAAAGCCGTCTTGTTTCCTGGTGGAACTACCTGTCTTCGTACATGCTGTCAGACACTCCAAGGCATATTGTTGTCTGAGCAAGTGTCCCGTGCCGTATTCTGGCAGTCTCAGCACTGCCCCCACTGCCCCATCCGAGCATGAATCTTGCGATTGTCCCTCATCTGCAGAAGAGGGCAAAGCGGGCTGTAATAACCAGAAGAGGGTTTTGGGCTCTGTTTTGCGTAGAGTTAAAATCAGGAAACCCTAAGGAATCATATTGGTAATCATTCAATGACCCTAAACCCAAAACCCTAAACCTTAAGCCCCATTTAGGCTTCGATAGTTTGCCCGTCCTGGGTCCAGGCTGCCGTACGGTCCGATGCACAGCGCAGCGGGGAAGGGCCCAGACCTCTTTGAGGGCTCGAGGATTTAGGTTCGGACTGTTTCACTACTTTAAGGGTTTAGGGTTTAGGGTTTAGGGTTTAGGGTTTAGGGTTTAGGGTTTAGGGTTTAGGGTTTAGGGTTTAGGGTTTAGGGTTTAGGGTTTAGGCTGGGTTTTGTGCGAGCTTCAGAATGCCAAACCATCAAACCATGAAGTTCAACGCCGAACTCTTGGCCAAACATCCGTTCTGAACCTGAAAGGGCCTCATAACAAGCCATATAGCAACCGCTGCAGCAACCCTAAACCCGCAACTGCCCATCACCCTCCAATCCTAAATCCAGCAGCCCTTATCCCGTATAAACACATTATAGAAGCCTTATTCAAACCCTTGTAAAGCCCATGAAACCTGTATACACCCTCTGGAACGAATCCAATAGTGTTGGCTCCTAAATAGAATTAGTTTACTATAATATCCTAACACTATCCTATTTGCTAAGGCACCCAATTAAACCCTACCCGAATCGGTAAAGCCCCATCGCCGAGCTGTGTGATCTGATGGCATTTCTTCAAGTGTTACTTTTAAGAGCTCCTTTGAAGGGTCCCTTTAAAGGGTGCCTTTAAAGGCTTCCTTTTATTGTGGAATTCTTTTCTTTTAAGCTGCGAAGAGCCCCTTTTAAGGAATCCTTTGCGGGTTCCTGTGAAGGAATCCTTGATCCTGAACCCTAAACCGTACTTGGAGGATCATGGGACTTAGTAAGGAAGGTTCCTTAAAGGGCTCCTTAAAGGGATCTATAGGGGTGCTATAAGGGATCTTTAGGGTTTAGGGTTTAGGGTCTACTTGGAGGATCATGGGACTTAGTAACTAGGGTGATAAGTAAGGTAACTATAGCTATATCTACTTATAACCCTAATTAGGGTACTTATCACCCGACTTACTAAGTCCGCCTGATCCTCCAAGTAGGCCCTAAACCCGAAACCCTATAGATCCTTTTAAGGGACCCTATAGGTCCCTTTAAGGAGCCCTTCAATGAACCCTACCTACTAATTTCCAAAAAGGCAAAGACCCCGCCGAGGCCCGGGCGGCTGCGTCTCCTCGGCCAACTGCCGGAGTCGCCTTGAAAAGGGTGCTTTCAGGCGATCCTGAAAATAAGGATCCTACCTTTTTAGGGTCCTATTTTGGGGGATCCTTTAAGGGTCGCTTCAAGGTTCCTGTAAGGGTTCCTTCAGGCAATTTTTTTTAAGGGTTCAAGGCTTAGGGGTTTAGGGATGAAAGGTTTGGGGTTCTGGTGGGTTGAAGGGTTCTGGGTTCAAGCATTTGGGGTTTAGGGTTTCGGGGGATCCTCCGAAGGGGTCCATTCAGGGTTCCATGAGGTTTCTCTAGTTTTAGGGTCTCAGCAGGTTTTACGGCTCCTTTGAGGGACCTCCTGTAGTTTATGCTGTGGGAGATCCTTCAAAGGGATCTGTTCAGGCTTCTTGAAGGAATCTAAAAGGATTTAGGTTTCGTTCGAGTATACTTGCAAGTATCTAAACCCTAACCCCGAAACCCTGAACTCGAAGCTCGAACCTCTGAACCTTAAACTCAAAGCGCCAAACCCTAAACCCTAAGCCATCTATTTCAAAATCGTTTTGGGTACCTGCTCAAAACCTGAATTACTCAGCACCGACTGGCGAAGTCCTTCGGTCCCAAGCAAGGCTGAGGGAAGCTTAGTTTAAGGCTTAGGGTTTAGACAGTTTAGGGTTTAGGGAAGTTACATTCCCACGTTGATGTTGCTGGCATTGTGGATACACTTCGATAATGCTTGGTTACACAACGTTGGGCTGCTTTGCGCTGTCAACTTCAGGGTCCAATGAAGAAGACAAATCTGACCCAGACCAGCTTCCTGAATCTAGGCCAGGGAGCCCCATACCCCTGAAACACAGAATACGAAGAGGGCCCTTCACATGATTTGAGGTTGACTGGCTAATTCAATCGTGCTGGCGCCTTCGGGGAATAGCGTCTTGCCCCGAACGTCCCGAACCCCGAAGTCCTGAACCTCAAACCCGAACCCCGGACCTGGGTTCTTCTCAAAGGCTTTAGTCTAAGCTACCAAAAATACGGATCTATAGTAAATACTATGATTTCCTTATTACAAATGGTAACTTAATCGGGATCTATAGTAGATAATACGGTGTCATTATTACATAGGGTAACATAAATCCGCCGAGGCCAGAGGCCCAGGCGTCTTGATGGTTACCTCAGGTACCCTCCACCTAATCCTCCTCCCTGCAGTCCAAATCTTTGGAGACACCCCTTGCCCCCGTTGCACTTGGTATCAACAACCGTGTAAAGCCTGCCGCTGCACAGCCGAGGCGGGCGGCGTAGCGTTAAAATTAACTTCCCTCACAAGAATCGAGGAATTTGGAACCTGAAACTCAACATCGAGTTCAAGGCCTGTCCCGTCCCAAAGTCGCGCCAACGGCCAAGAAAGCATCCCCAAACCCCAAATCCGAAACCCTCAGTGAGGGACCCCCAAAAGCACCTAAACAAAAAACATGTTGTCTATCCCATAAACCCCCCACTTAAACAAAGCAAGAAGGTTGGGATATCCCACCCAACAGTTAATGTTTGGGTGCTTTTTTGGCTCCTAACCTAAGCCCGATACTAAACCCGAAACACCAAACCCGAAACCCCAAACCTGAAACCCTGAACTAACCCGAAACCCCAAAACCCAAGTACTGAACCTCAAACCCAGGCGAAGGGAGATGGGAGGTCCCCTAAACCCTAAACCCTAGAGATGCCTTACAGCAACCCTTAATGGAGCCTTATAGATCTTGGGTACGGCCCCCACTCGGTAGTAGTTGAATAATATTCGTAGTATAGATATAAAATGACCTTAATAGCAGCCCAACTATAGACTATTACTGTATGGGGGGCAGTACGTAATAATTAAAAACTAAAGGGAACTCCAGAAAGTTGGGATATGGTTTCAGGGGTAGGACACCCTATAATTTACCATAAAGGGTTTAGGATAATCATATTCCAACTTTCTGGCTTTTACTGTATAGTGCCCTTCAAGGGACCCTAAACCCTAAACCCTGTAGATCCCTTATAGGACCCCTTGTAGTGCCCTTTAAGGGAGCCCCTAAGTGCCAACTTTCTGGCTTTTACTGTAAAGGAGCCCAGGAGTCTCCCTGTCTCCGAGCTTTGAGCGACCAAAGGCGACCAAGCGGCTGTGTCCAAGGCCCAGCCGCCTTGCAGAAGATGCTCACCTCATGCGGAGATTCGTGTAGGGCCCTTAGTAGGGTTTAGGTCTAGGGTCTAAGGCACTTCTTGTTTTTGTGTGCTCCTTTTTCTTCCAGCAAGCCTGCGAGGTCTTCACCGAAATGTTTAGGGTTTAGGGTTTACATAGCATCTGCAAATCGGGTTGTCTATAATTTCTTAGAGGCTCTTATAGAGCGTTATATGCGACTATGGTTTCTTTAAAAGGGTTGTATGGAGGCTCGAAACGGGTCTCGCGCCTCGGAGATTTGAGTAAAGGTCTCTATGAGGATTTGTCATACAGAGGCCCTTAAGAAGTTATTCATGGGTCTCATGAGGCTTTATAGGGGTACTAAACATTACAATAAGGTTTCGGCGTACATTATAGCTCTAAGTGGCCTCCCTGGACTATTGCTTTTATAGGGATACTAGAAATTACAAATAAGATTTCGGTGTACACTGTAGCTTTAAACGGCCTCCTTGGACTGCTGTTCTCACATTGTATGGCACGAAGTAAAGAGTTCTTGGGGCGACAGCTCCACAGGGAGCAAAATCCTGAAGCCCTGCACCCGAAACTCTTTGTGGGTCACACACTAAACGTCACCCCTAGCTCTTCGACCATTTAGGGCTGGGTTTTGGGGGCCAATAGCCTGTAGGAGAAAATCCTGAAACCCGCCGGCTCACATTCCGGCTCAAGTTTGCCAGATTCCGGGTACCGCAAGCAAGAGTCCTCAACTTCCGTGATAACGAGAAAACAAAACCTCTTCGACTCCTCGTCATCTTCCGGAACCTGAAACAAGCCCTGAACTCCAATGCCCCACGATTCTCCCCCGACTCCTTGCGCTTAGGACTCTGAAGTGCAAAGCTAAATTCCTAAACCTCCAACCTCGCCCATGAATGGCTCCAACTTCGTCAAGGGCCTACTAAGTATGTGCCGTGGCACCCGGTCGCTCTGAACGTTCGCGGTGAACGGATGCCACGACTGCTTGCAGACCTGCAGTTTGTAATCTGGAGCCTAGCATTTAGGGCCTAAGCCTTGATACTTGGAATAGGGTCCGGGCGTGGGGGTAGATGTAGACTATACTACTGCACATATGTGTGCGTTTCATGCTTCAAACAGGGGTCCAACCACCCCAAACCCGAAAGCCTAAGAAACCCGAAGGGTTGCTGGAGCTCCCGGAAAGTTGGAAAGTTGGCTTCGGCGGATGATCTTCTTGTTTATTTACAGGGTTTTAGGCTTGAGGGCATAGGGTTGGTTAAGGTTTAAGAGTTTGTTGTTTTTTGTAGAGTTTCCGTGTGCGTTTGCATTGTGTTTCTTGGTTCTATCATAGAGACCTACATGATTGGAACAAGGCTTGACATATGTTACTACTGCAACCTATCACGATCCAGAGGGACTCTCAGGGAATACTATTACCGAGCGTTCCGACCCCTGTATTACTCCGCTCGGGCAAATCCAAATCATTTGTTGTCTGCGCCAGGAAGGCCAGAATTTCGAAGGCGGTGTTGGATCTGGCCTCCCATAGATCTTTATGACGTCACTGCTTCTGCCGGATATGGCAGCGGCACTTGGTGCGTAACTCCGGAAACTCGCCTCTTGCAAAGTCTCTGTGAAGACGCTTTCATTGCTTCTGTTTGCCTCCGCGCTCAGTTGGACACGTGGTTCCGTAGGAAGCTGCGACCGACTGCCTCTGCTCATGTCACGTGGCCTGTGGGGGCCTGCCACATTGTGGGAGAGGTTATACGGATGTCCACTGGCTGTCTTTCCCTGCCAGCTTTGCCATCCGCCTGGATTTTTGGACTTTGGTGTGCACGATTCGAACAAAAACAAGACGCGAGGGTTGTCCGTTGACACTGGCTTGCCACTGCCCGGATGGACCGTCAGCACATTCGGCCGGGACATGTTGGATGTAGGGGTGTAGTCGTCCGCCACGTCGCTGTATGATGACACTTGGTCGGAGGATGCATTAGCGACGGGCTCGAGATCCGACACCAAGTAGAAGCAGCCCTAAACCCTAAACCCCAATCCAAAAGCCGTTATGTAGTTTTTTGCGGTGAAATGCCCACGAACCCTGTTCGAACGACTGCACCTCCACCTTGCTGTAGTTCAAGGCACAGGGAGGGCTTCGCAAGAAGAACGAAAGAAGAACGGAATAATAGCAATAAGCACTAGAATCCCAAGCTCCCGAGCTCTCAGACCTCCAGGCACGGTTTCGGGATAAGGGTTTGGGTTCAGGGTCTTGGGGGCTGAACAATTAGAATGAGGTTCTGCGGTATGCTGGAGGATCCCTATAAAAACGGTTGCGCTTTATTGTACCTTAGTGAGGACCCCCAAGGAAGAGCAGTGCTAATTCCTCCGGCTTTTGTCTTGGGGTTCCGGGGCTCCGGTTTCAGGGTGCACATAGGTTTAGCCACGGTTCTACCCAGAGAGCCAAACACCCCAAATCAAAGCCGGAATCTTCGTTGAGTTGCCAAGAGATCTGTGAGATAACGCAAAGATATGTCCTAATTAAAAGGTATCCCCAAGCCCTACACCCTAAACGACCCTGCACTCTCGACCCCAACACCCTGAACTGTAAACCCTAAGTGACAAACCAAGGACACCGATGACAAGACACCTCGGGCACGTGGACCAACACCTGAAGAAGATATTGATGCTTATGGTTTCGGAATTAGGGCTTCAGCATTTCTAGGGTTTCTTAGGGTTTAGGGCCTTTGGGCTTTAGGGGCTAGGTTAAACGAACGAGTTTCGGACGCTGGGAGGTTAAAGTTTAGGGTTTAAGGAGTCTTGCAGGATTTTGGAGGGTTTCAGGGATTTCGGGTTGAGGGTTGTGGGGTGGAGTTCGGGGGTCTGTACTCCGGTCTCCGCAGCCGTCTTGAACCACCGAACCTGAAGAATAGCAAGCTCGGATTTCGTAATGTTGAACCATTGCAGGATTGGAGGTCTTCTTTCAAGCACTGGGGTGACTTTAGAAGGAACTACTTGGGAAATAGGATACTCTGGTCTATGGATCTGCGTTCCTGCTTTTAAGACAACATTTTTTTCTCCCGAGTTCATAATGCTGCTTCCCTCGATGCTCTAATACATCCGAGCCACGAAATGCCCTGGACGGAGCTGCGCTGCGAGCTGTGGCATCTGCAACTCCTGCGATGTTTGGCGAGGTGCTCATCTGTGCATCGGTCGTGGGCCTCATCCATGGCCACCCCTACAAGCACCACCACCACCATCACCACCACCACCACCACCACCACGGCGACAACGACCGCTACAAGTGCCACTGACCGAAACCCCTAACCCCTGGCCCCTCACCCTGAACCGCCAGGAAAGCTCTGCGGTGGACGGCTCCAGATGGGTGATATCCGTGCCCGGGATTGCCGTAAAGCTGACGACGCGAGCCGGCTGCGACGAGGCAACGAGCCTGTTTGAATTTCCCAAGCTTCCTTAAGGGTTCGGGGTTTAGGGTTTGATCTTGGGCGTTCTTGGCTTGGTGTTCAAGGTGTAGGGTGTTGATAGTACTTTTTTGTAGGTGCTTAGCAGAAGGAGTATTCCTTATGTACGGCTGTATACAAAGGTGCCTTCTAAGACACAGAAAAGTTCACATTTCCTGAACTATGGAGGGGTCCTTGTTATCTCAGAGACTCCACAATCCCGGTGACAAAGGAACATTCCTGAACCTGCTGACAAGGGCGGCGAATAATGGCCGATCCTTTGCGAAGGGATAATGGAGTCCCCGGGTTTGGGGCGCCAGCGTCAGGTTTGGATTGCAGGCCAACGGATCTAGACTGCGGTTTTGCTGGGCTTTATACTGTAAGGGAACGCCACGGGATGCTATCACTAGCCACGAGGGTTTAGGATGCAGGGTATAGGCGGTCAGCCCCTTGCTGCAAGAGTGAGACCAGCGGCCTTCTCTGTGCAATCAAAGGGACTTCAAATTGAGGTTCGGGAGTGTGGGATTTAGGGTGTAGGGTGTGGGGTTTAGGGTGTACGGTTTAGGGTGTATGGTGTAGGGTGTATGGTGTAGGGCAAATCAGCATGTCATAAGCAAGACAACCGTGATCAGTGCACCTACGGCTTCACTTTCAACCCACTTGCCAGGGTTCCCAGTCGGGCGCATTGGGCTCAAGCCTTCTAAACCTTGCCCTAAACCCTAAACCTTACCGGAGGATCTATGACCTCACAGATCTTTCCATGCCTATATGAATCTGGATGGTTCGGCTCGCCGAACGCCCCAACCCCTTATCGCAATCCGCAACATGACATGAACCCCCAGGAACCAAGCGGAAGAGTCCCCAAAGACCCTCCCCAAACCCGAAGTCCTCGAACATTCCGGCCAAGGACAGGAATGAAGCAGGGTTTAGGGTTTAGGGGTTTAGGGTTTATTTGGTTTTGGGGTTTATTTGGTTTTAGTTCCCGAATTCTCGAAGCCCGCTCTCGGAGTAGATACATCCTAAATTCTGAACCCAGCGAGTCCTAAATCCCGGACGCCAGAAACCCACAAGCTCTTGCCTCCTAGCTGCCAAAATGCCCCGCGCGTCCTAATGAGATTACCTAGCAAAACAGATTCGGCTTTTCTGAACCCTAAACCCTAAACCCTATTTTACTTATCAAGGATGTTAAGGCCCCTATACTCGGCTCCTGCTGGATGACCCCTTCAGAAAGGGAACCCCCTGAAAAGGGTGACCCTAGCTCTCAAAACGGCCCCCCAAAACGTAGTCGGAGAGCCCAATACCCCTTAATTAAGGAATATAGCTTAAATCATAATATGAAGCCCTATATAATTTAAGCCATATTCCTTAATTAAGGGGTATTGGGCTCTCTGGGATAGTCGGAGGCACCGGTGCAGCCGGTCGAACCACCACAGCGCTAAGCCGGGGAGGACAAAGAACCAGAAGCTCCAGGCGTGCACCATGCCCATGAAAACCTAAGGACTCTACTGGACTTAGTAAGGGCTCTTAAAGGGCTCCTTAAAGGGATCTATAGGGTTCCTTAAAGGGGTCTATGGGGTTTAGGGTTTAGGGTCTACTTGGAGGGGCAGGGGACTTAGTAAGTAGGTTATAAGTAGACTTATAAATACCCTAGATGGATTTACCCCAGTTATAACCCTACTTAAAACTTACTTACTTCCCCTGCCCCTCCAAGTAGGGCCTTTAGGGCCTTTAGGGCCTTTGGGGCCTTTAAATGGGCTTTTTGGTTCAGGGCTTAGGGTATGCGGATTTTAAGGGTTTGGCGTTTAGGGATTAGGGTTTAAGGTTCAGGGTCTAGGGTTTAAGGGGTTGGGATCTCGGGTTTCGGGATTTAAGCTGTAGGGCTCAAGGTTACTTTAGGGCTCAGGGGCTCTTGAAGGCATTAGGGCCCACGAACACCTGGCTTGAAAGATCTGGGGACATTGTAAGTGGGCTGCAAGCAAGTCCTTCAGTACCCTAAAAAGGGCTATCGCGTCCATAAGCTCTATGTATAGCAGCTTTGCTAAGTCCCCTGACTCTCCAAGTAAGGCTTATGGATCCCTGATGATTCCCTTCTGCTAAAACCTAAGCCATTTCGTGATCGAGGTATTCAAGGTGACCATCCGTATGGGAGTCGTAGTGGAGCACTTATCCATGTCACGGTTGCGCTTGAAGGGCTTAGGCTTTCGACTTCCGGTTGAAGGCATGGGAGTTCAGAGCTCAGGTTTGTTGTTAGGGCTTCAGGAGCTTGGGGCGTCAGGGGCTTAGGGGTTTAGGGTTTAGGGCGTTAGGACTTTTGGGTTTAGGGTTTAAGGTTTCTACTTGGGTTACGTTCCTAACCTCGGTGAGCGCAGCCCTTCAGAAGTCTGATCCGTAAACCAACCCCAAAAAACCTGGTGTTTCTCTCGAAATTCCGATGCTCCGAGCCCCTTCTGTCCGCCCAGTGGCGAAGAAAAGTGCAAGGTGGTGGCTGAGGTAGAAGAGTCTATACATCCTGACGCGCAAGTATCTAAGAGGTTATGGGCCTAAGATTCGAGAACTCGAGAACTCCGAAGTCTAGGATTTCAAAGGTATCTGGTTTTGGCTTGCCGGGGGTTTCAGGAGTAAGGTAGGGCTGACGGCTTAGGTTCTGGATCATGGGTTACAGTACTTAGAGGATCAGGGGACTTAGTAAGTAGGGAGTAGCGTAACTATAGTTATATCAACTTATATCCCGAATTAAGGTACTTATAGACCTACTTACTAGGTCCCATGACCCTTCAAGTAGCTCGAAATGCAGTGACGTGGGTTAAATATCCCTTTAAGGGCTCTCTGAAGGTACTTTACGGGCTTAGGGTTTAGGGTCTACTTGGAGGATCATGGGACTTAGAAGGTGGGGTAGGTCAAAAGTACCTGAATTAGGGTCACAAACAGACAAAATATAGCAACCTCACTTATAACTTATAACCCTACTTACTAAGTCCCCTGATCCTTGAAGGTGGGAGGCACAGGCCCTAGACTTGGGGCTTTGCTTGGGTCGGGGCTCCTCCGACGGCAAGTCCAAGCAATGACCATCGCCACGGTGAAGAGTACCCAGGACACCTGCCAGCCGGAAGACCCTCAACCCTAAACCCTAAACCCCTGAACCCCTAAACACAAAACCCCTGAACCCCTGAACGCCTAAAGCCCTGAACCCTCAACCCTAAACCTCACCCTAAGCCCTGAACCCCTAAATCTTAAACCCTTAACCCTCAACCCTAAAGCCCAAACCCTGACCTAAGCTTCAACCCGACAGGTTTGGTTCAGCTTCGCGTTTAAGGTAAAAGGTAAAGGGCCTGAGGGTTGAGGATTCTTGGCCGTCCGGGCTCATACGGTGGAGCTGAGAATTTAGAACAGCATCTGGGGTTTGGGCTTAAGGCTGGCGGTCGAAAAATGGCTAAGTTCGCAAATCAGATGCTCCTGTCTAGTATTACCCTAACAAGGAACCCTAAGGAATAGTATTGGTACAAACTCGAGCCTCTATATTAGGGCCTTGTAAGGACCAATGACTTGGGTTTGTAAGGCTTCTCTGTCAGAAGGATCCTGCCTGGGCCATAAGCACGCTGAAATTCTCGTAGTGGTTCCTCGGGCACCGGATGGCGGCTCCGGATTCTGCACTGCAAGAACTGCCATGGGTCCTACAGGTAGCTATCGTCCGGCAAGAACAGGGGCTGGTGACGGGTGAAAAGGCGAAGGATCAGCAGGCAGGAGGAGGAGGACGACGACGAGGAGAAGTACGATCATGTTCATGTTCATGATGATCAGGAATGATCATAATGAAGATGCTGATGACGATTGAAGTCGATGGAAACTCCCTGAGACAACCTCATTTCTGAAAATCGAAACCAACCAAAATCCCTCGTCCTTACGCTCGAAGCCCGAACCCCAAACCCCATCACTACGAACCCCAAACCCCATCACTACCGCAAGCCCCGAACGCGAACTCGGACCGCAAACCCAGCTTCTGACCTCAACCAAGGAGCCAGGAGGGCGTGACCCAGAGCCACTTCCTCGGCAGACACCATTAAAAGATAAAACATTAGTTCTCAAGCCCCAGCGGCGGATAGGGTCTGGTGCTGAGGTTTAGGTAGGCCCCTATACTATACTAGCCTTATAGATCCCTTATAGTAGCCCGTATAGACCCCTTTAAAAGAGCCCTATTCCACGTGTTCAGGCCCCTATGAATCCGCTTTTGCAGTTCTCTGGTTCAAGATGAAGGGATCAGCAAAAGGAAAGGTCTCAGGAGCTCTGGAGATAGTTACTTAGAGGATCATGGGACTTATAAGTGGGGTTATAAGTCCCCTAAGTGGGGTTATCCTAGTTATAACCCACTTAGAACCTTGCTTACTAAGTCCCATGAGCCTCCAAGTACAGTAGAAGCCCAAAAGCTGGAAACCCATAGCCTCGATCCTTACGAGGAAGGTATAAGGGAATCCCAGCACGAATTGTCCTTAATCCGGTTTCCAACTTTATGGGGTTTACTATAGAGCGTTTTGGAGGCTGGTGGATTTAGGAACGGCAGAGCCTAAAAGCTCAGGGTTTGGAGCTTTGGGCTTTTCTAGGTGTGGGATTTTAGGGTTTAGGGGTTAGGGGTCTAGGGGTTTAGGGGTTTGGGGTTTAGAGTCCCGGATGTCGGAGTTCAGTGCAAGGAGATGCTGATATATCTTTTTTTATCTAAGCACCCCAATCGGAGACCCGGCAAGTAGGTCATCAAAGCTCTATTTATGAGAACCTTGCTTGGCGCACTTATAACGTAGAACCCTACTAGAGACCCTGCTTACGAAAACAGCTGTTCCTCCCAGTCCCATGAACCCGATGTTGCTACAGGCACTTGCAAGTCAATCTGATGTCTGAAACGTGGTTGCGGTCCCCCACGGGACTCCTGTTATACTATCATGCAGACCTACCCCAAGCCCACCGAGTAGACCTAAACCCTGCATCCTAAACCCTAAACTAAAAACCAAAAACCAAGTACATCGCAAAGCCGAAAATCCCAAACCCCAAATCTAAAGACGCTCGTGGCATAATATTGGGGACTTAAAATTTGAATAGGGCTTTGGGGGCCATAGCAATAAGGAACCCCAAAAATAGTACGAGGGATGAGTCTTCGGGGTCTGAAATTGTGGTCGTGGGAGTTAGGAATGGGATTTCCTCTGGCCCAGCCCCTGAGACCTTCAGCACTCACTAAGCCGAGCATCTGCGTGTCGATGGCGATGAGATTCTTTACAAACGTCCTACGACAGGTTAGAGTTTCGGATCTAAGATGTGGGTAGTTGTCAAAATGATGGCCCCTTTTGGGGGTACCCTAAATATTAGGTGTCGTACTATAATAGGGACCCAAAAAGGGACCCTTGTTTTGACAACCACCCATGTGGAGGGCTGAGGTTTAGACCATCTGACAAGCTTTGGGGATCAGGCGTCGAGAGTTTCACCTAGCACGGCTGCGGACGAACTCGCACAGGAATCCGTCCAAAGCTCCCCAAAGAAGTAACGGTACCACCAACCATCCAGTGTGCTACGGAAGAGGCTTTGACAGCGTCGTCGCTTTGGACATTCTCGTACCCCAGCTTCTAGAAGGTTCTACAAACACGCAACTCGACTCTATGTCTAGAAGCCGTGACCGGACGTGGAATGCCTTGTCTTCAAATCGTCTTCTGGGATCGAGCCTCTACAGTAGCCCGAGATACCCCCGGACTCCTGAATACTTCATGCCAGGATCTTCATAATGAGAATGATAGCATTACTAGCCGTTCATGCTTCCATGGCATGATCCCGACCGGGCTCCACGCACCCGAATCAAGACATGCAGTTGCGGTTCGGGATTTAGCTTTAAAGTTTTGGGTTTAGGCATCAGCACACACATGCACACCGAACACCCGAAGACATAAGCCCAAGAATCGAAAAAAAATACGAAACCCGGAACCCCAGACCCTGAAGCTCGCCCTAAGTCCCAAACCCCAGACGTCTAGACCAAGAATCCACAAACCTCTAGACCTGCATATAATCTCCTAAACCCAAAATCGAACGTTGATGTTCAACCCTAAACCCCAAATCCTGTTGGAGCCCCAACCACCAAACGCCCACAATAGAGAGAATTCTGGCTTCGAGCCTATTACGCTTCAAAACCAGAATTCAGATTGGGTTTAGGGTTTTAGGGTTTGGGATTTAAGGTTTACGGCCTAGGGTTGCGACGCTATAGAATCCCAGATAGTAGGATCCTGATTGCAAGGACCCAGTGCAACCCCTTAGCTACCAGCCCTAACTCGCATTGAGGATACTTCTGCAGCTTCAAGCAGGGTCTAGGGTTTCCTGGGTAGCCATTTACCTTCTCCAACTTCTTGTGGAGGAAAGTAGAAAGGATCACGTTTAGGTTGCTATAGCACGGACCTGTAACATAGGCGTCGATTTCAGCAGCCCCAAAATCATCAAAAATGAGGGCTTTATAATAAACCATAAGAGAAACCAGAAGTTATCCCAAATTGATACCTAATACATATATACACACAAAAGTATGTGTATATGTATGCGTGTGCATATGTGTGCGTGTGTGTACATGTATACCCTTGTTTTTGATATCTTGTATGAAGTCATACAACGAGAACCCACTTCTTATCCGGCCCGACCCTTTCCCTTGCAGTCCCATCCAGGATCCACTTCAGCCTGAGCAGCAAGAAACAAGGCGATCCAGGGCGGGTTCTTTAAGAGTTCGATAAAGGTTCAGGGCTTAGGGATCGCGGGGTTTCGCAAGTAGGGTTATAATTTATAATTAAGGTAACCATAGCTATATCTACACATAAGCCAAATTCAGGTACTCCTACTCCTATTCATTTCGTCTGCTGAGCCTCTACTTACGGTTTAGGGTCAAAGCTAATCCCTAGAACCGTGTCTCCAGTACCCCAAACGTCAACTCCTAGCCCTGCGCCGTCACTGAAGTTAAGTCAAGGAGGGGCTTTGGATTATCTTGGAGCTTCAGGAATCTGAGGCCCAAGTCCAGCTGCCTGAGGATTTCTTCAACAATCCAGGGTTTCAGATGCAGGACACGGCTTCGATGGCTTCGGGTCCGCTATTTGGCCCGTAGTAAGGGCAGAGTCTGCGCCCCGAAACTCGCACTTGAAAGCCAGAACCGCTTTGAAGCCTGAAACACCAAAATCCGGGACCCCTGAAATCCCAACTGCGACCACCCAAACCTCCAGAGCAGAATCGCAAAGGGTCCGCTCCTGGCACTTCCAAAGGTGTAGAGCGAAACGAAGGCAGTGTAAGCGGGTAAGCTTTCAGCTTCTCGTGTGGAGACCCCCCTTCTAGTTTTAGGGAGAGGGCTTAGGACAGCTCAGAATCGCAACCTAAACCCCGAGATCCCATCCACCCTAAACCCCTAAACTCTATAACCCAAAAACCAACCCCAGAGATCCCAAGCTCCGACCGAAGGGCCACCAGAGCAGCATGTGCGCCGTTACCGCGAAGTAGGAGACCGCGCCGAGGCCGCGGTGCCAGTGCAAGACCCTTTCGGGGTAGTAGGGCTTGGGGTTTAGGGTTTAGGGTTTATGGGGTAGTAGGGCTTATGGTTTAGGGTTTAGGGTTTAGAGATCCTAATACTTTAAGTTATAGGGGGCTTAATATTATGGTTCAGGGTATATTCCTTAAGTGAAGGTATATTTGGCAGTACCTAGAGGATCATGGGACTTCGTAAGTCGGGTTGTAAAGTAAGGTAACTTTAGTTATATCTACTTATAACCCCAATTCAATTACTTGTAACCCTACTTACTAAGTCCCATGATCTTCCAAAAGTAGGGCTACAAAGGTTTCTTTATAGCAGGGTTTTGGTTTAGGGACCCTGGGGCAGTTGGGCTTCATCGAGTTCTTTACACGGTTTAGAGGTTCTTGTTTCATCTCCATCTGTCTGCTCAAGGTATAAGACTTCGGGGTTTAGGGTATAGGATATAATGTGACTGTCAGGATTTTTCGCAGAGAGTTTATAAGACCTTCGGGGCATATTATGAGACTGAATAAAAATTGCCTTGAAGGCTTGACGAGGGCTCTTTAAAGGGCTTCAGAGCTCTTTACCAGGTTGTATGCACGGTTTTATCAGGGCTCTCTGTAGGGCTTCACATTGGGTTTGGGGTTTTTGGAGTTTTCAAGAAACTCGCAGACCTAAACCCTAGACCCTAAACTCCTAAACCCTAAACCTCTAGACCCTAAAACCTATACCCCTGGGCCTCTCGAAACTCAAGCCCATGACTCGAAGCAAGATGCTGTCCTGCGCAGCACCGGGGATCCGGATAAACCGAGGGTCGCGGGTACTCGCGGAACCCTGAAACCCAAATTCTAAAATGCTAAACACTAAACACTAAACTCCTAATCTCTAAACCCTATAAACTCTAAACCCTATTCAAACATGATCTGTTTTGGGGTTCAACTGTTCCGGGCTTCGTGGCTGGTGTTGGGGTTTCGGCAAATTCGCAGTTTCCTGGCTCCTGAAGCAAGCCTGGCCATCTAGAGCACCAGACGTTAAAAGCCTCTGCCTTCCCACGTCCCTGAGAGGATCTAGAAGCTAGGTTTTTGGAAACCAACATGGAGGTCAAAAGTCTACAAGGGCTACTATGAGGGCTTAGCCATAGAGAGGCCTTGATAATCAGAGTCCGGTTTTAGGGTGTACTAGAGTATACTTAGACTGAGGGGCCCTAAAGCAGAACGTTAACTTGCTTTCGGGTTTGTCGAAATGAAGGAGAAACCTACGTAAATCCCCAAGCCCCCAAGTCCAAGCCGAAGCCGCAGAGTCCAGAACCTAAACGCAACAAACCCAACTGCTCCCGTCCTAAACCTCCAACCCCAAAACCCTGAAACTCTTACTACCCATCAAGCCAAAAATGAAAGGTTAAACTTTCCGATTCCTACTAAACTATAAGAGCCCAAAAAGTTTAAAGGTTAGGTATTGGGGATCTAGCCTAACTAACCTTCAACCATAAATCCTGAATCCAACACTGATCCGCTTCAGGGCCACCCCGTGAACAGAGGGGACATTTCTTGTTAATTCAGGGCCTTAACATAGGAAATCCGATAACGCAGGAAATCCTCCTGATTCAAGCCTGAACCCAAATCCTAAATCCAGAAGAAACCTCAAACCCACAAACCCTAAACCTCAAACCGGTTTGGTGTTGCGACCCTTGCAGCGCGAAGCAGCCATCCCCCAGGGAGCAACATGCCTTAAAATGCAGAACGACCCTTTAAAAAAATTGAATATCGTTTGAAGTACATCTCCGGGTCCTTCGCCACCGGCAGCATCGTTAGTGCAAAGGCTAGGGATGCCATGTGTCCCGAGACCCGGCAGAGCACGTGCCTTGCAAAGAGGCGAAGGGAGAGAAAATTTCAAGGGAGTCTAGAGTTTGGGGCTGGAGGTTCAGGGCTTACGGTTCAGAGTTCAGGGTTCGGGCTTGAGGTTCAAGTTTCAAGATTTCGGGTTTTGGCTCCTACGGATCAGGGCACCTGCGATTGCTCCGAGGAGTTGAGAAGTATCGCGTGGAAGCCTTAAACCCTAAACCCGTAAACCCCAAACCCTGAACCCTAAACCCTATACCCTAAACCCCTGAACCCCAAACCCGAATCCGAACCCTAAACCCTACCTATACCCTAAACCCTAAACCCCTAACCCTTAACCCTATACCCCAAACCCCAAACGCTAAACCCAAAACCTAAACCCTAAAACCTAAACTGCGGGCTGCTCGTACTTTAGTAAGCGGCTCACGGGACTTAGTAAGTAGGGTTCCTTAAAGGCCTCGTTAAAGGGATCTACAGGGTTCCCTGCAGGGATCTGTGGGGTTTAGAATTTAGGGTCCACTTAGAGGCTCATGGGACTTCGTAAGTAGGGTTATAAGTAAGGTAACTTTATTTAAATGGTAACCCCCCCCAAGAACTACACACCCTTGTTTTGTATCGTAAATACCGTACCAAGCATTTAAATCTATTTTCAACCCCAATCATGGTACTTATAACCCTGCTTACTGAGTCGCATGACCTGCTCAGTGGGGCATAGGGCTTCGGGCTTGGTTCCGCAGGCTTTTGAGGCTTCAGCATGTAGGAGTTTCCGAAACTAGGGAACCCTGATCTAGTACCCTAAATAGTAGGATCCATATTATAAGGACCCCAAAATAAGGTACCCCCAATTTTCGGAAACATCCATGTAGGATTAAGGGCGGCGCCTCCCATGTCACAGTTACCCAGAGGCTGAAAATGCCCCCGACTAGGGGACCTTGCACAAACGGAGAATGCTCGCTAGGCAGTAGATACGGCTGATGCTATAAATCCTGCATTACCTTAACGACCCCGAACTATGGGAACTATGGTATATTCCTGATTATGGGTAATGCAATATTTATATCATCAACCGTATTTTGGGCCAAAAAGGAAACCTACACATCCCAAATACATCGTTTGTCTTGTTATTGTTAACCCCTCCGAAAAGCTGGTGGCATCGCTCCATCAAAAGCGTGCTTCAGGAACATTCCGTATTTTAGGCACCCCTATACAGCACCCTTAAAGAGCACTTTCAGAACCCTTACCGTTACCCCTAAATCCCCAAACCCTCAGCCACTAAACCCTCAACCACCCCCCAAAACCCCGACCGAGGTTCAGCTCTCCACGGCCCGTCGGCACGCTGCCGACGATCTGCTCGCACTTTAGCTGGGATCCTCGAAAAGCCGGGAAGTTGATTTGGGGTTTGGGTTTTTTGTTTGGGTGGGCTCCTTGTGCTACTGCTGTTACGAGTCTGAATGTCCCAAAAGGAAGAGGCGGGGAGTTTAGGGTTTGGGGCTTGGGGTTCAGGGTATGGGTTTAGAAGTTAGGGGGCTTGCCTGGTGCTCAAAGTTTGGGGTTTGGGGTGTAGGGCTTGGGACTTGGGGTTTAGGGTTTGGGTTTGGGGCTCGGGTTTTGGGCTGAGGGTTTGGGATTTGGGATCTGGGGTTTGGAGTTTGGGTTTAAGGTTCCGTATTGGGGTTTCGGGTTTGGGGTTGTAACATAGACAACATAGAAAAGCTGGACGCAAGAGTAACGGAGCATTCGTCGCAGTCTAAACGACGGTGAGCTAGTCCTAGAAGAAACAACAGCAAAAGCCCAGAATTATCATGATGATTGTGCTAATGGCAACGGTAACGATAGTGATATCCATAGTAACAATGCCCCATGACAGTCCCTTCTGAAACCATGATGATGATACTACAATGCGAAAAATCCGGGTTTACCTACACTCCCCACTCGCCCGAATCCCCTCATGCGAACTCCAAGCCTTGAATCCGGAACTCCATACCTCGAGCTTTAAACACCTCTCAAACCCCTAAACCGCAAGACCCTGAAACCCTTGAACCCTTCAGAACTTCGAAAAAACAACAGAAGCCTTTCAAACTTTTGTTTGAAGAACTTTCCTAAGCCCCCCAAAACCCCGCACAAAAAAAACAAAAACGAACCTAAAGCTGAAAAGCCAGGCAAAACCCAGCGGCGGCCTCCCAAACTGACGGCAACGCCGGGCTCGCCGAGCTCCCCGATCTTGTCGGAGACCTAGGGTCCAGGGTTTAGGGTTTAGGGTTTAAGGTTTAGAGCAAACCCGAAGACCTAGTACCGAATAGGCTTCGGCTTGAGGTTTTAGGTTTTTGGATTTAAGCTTTTCGGTTTAAGTTGTTGGGTCTAGGTTTTCGGGTTTAGGTTTAAGACCTTAGGGTTTTTAGTTTTGGAGGTTTGGCGTTCAGGATTTAGGGCTTTATGTTTAGGTTGTGGGTTTGGCATATAACAGCTCATGGTTTAACACTTAAGGTTCAACTTCGGGTTTCACACGTGTTTGGTGGATCATGGGACTTAGTAAGTAAGGTTACAAGAGTACCTTACTTGGGGTTAAACGTAGATATAACTAAAGTTATCACACTTCTGACCCTACTTACTAAGTCCCATGACCCTCTAAGTCGGGTTTGGGGTGGCACCTCCTTGTCCGGTGAAGTCCAACACTCGTGCGCCGCATCGATGTGATGGAACCTCGGCCCACATGGGGTAAGGGTTGAGGGTTTAGGGTTTAGGGTCTTGGAGTTTGGGTTTGGGGTTTAGGGTTTAGGATCTCGGGCATGGGGTTTAGGGTTTAGGGTTTCATGGGGTAAGGGTATCGGATTTTGGCGAATTGATTTAGGTCTAGGGCTTAGGCTTTAGGTTGATAGTAGATACCGCAGTTAACATGATAGCGGCCTGAAGAGTGAAAATTGGGGGTTATAGGGTGCCAGATTTGCCCCAAAAACCCTTTATCCTTTCAGTGCGGCAGGACCCTGCGGAAGCGAAATTAGGGTTTAGGGTTTGGCAGAAACAATGCGGCAGGGCCTCAGAATCACACTGTGTTTTGAGCCATATTGTAAAATCTTTGATGATGTCGCTGTTTCAACATCTAGCTTCAATGTTTGAGGGGCCAAGGGCGGGACAACCTGATCATAAACCCTGAAACTTTTAAGCCAAGCGCCTGAGCCCTTATCTGTGATACAGTGTATTTAGGAGACACCTTTTCAAAGCTGAAAACCGGATCCCTGCAACAAAACCTTGCTGCAGCTGGCTGAGATCACCTCTCACTCAGCCGGTACTGTCGGTTTGGCATGCTGGCCGTTTCCTGGGCATACTTCCTTGCTTGGGCCACTTAAGCCCAAAGACTACCTTCCCACGCCCCCCCAAACCCTAAACCCTAAACTCTGGCACCGCACCTGTCGTAGCCCCAATACCAGTAGCCAAACCAGCCTGGATCGGGGACTTAGTCAGTAGGTTCCTTTATGGGTTTGTTTAAGGGTTCCTTTCAGGGTTTAGGGTTTAGGGGACTTAGTAAGTAGGGTAAACTGACGGATGTTGGGCCCAGGTCTCTATGTGGTGCAACGCTTCCAACCCCATTCATTTCTCGGCGAGCTGGTCTTCTAAACGCATTACTACTATTTGCTTAAGAAACCCCAAAAAAAATAATAATCCATATATTACCCCCATAAGGAATATATATTTTTATTTTTGGGGGGGTTCTTAAGCAAATAGTAGATTAAGGTTTAGGGTTTTGCTTTTCGGGTCCAGGGTCCAAGGCCCCTCCGTCGGGTTTGGGGGACTATACTTCCTTAAATAGGCCTTTTTAGGTTCTCATGATGGGCATTAAGGCCCCCTACCCCGCCTCCCCCGTACCCCCCTAAGGGTGCCTCTGACTTGAATTTTCGGTGCTGCCCTGGCCTGCAAAGAAGAAGACGAGGATGAGCACCATGAGAGCTTCCAGGAGCGAAAGGCCGTCTGGAAAGGGGTTCAGGAAACCTCGGCCGCTTAGATGATCTCACGGGCTGGGGATGAGGCGGCCTGGTTGAGGATTCAGGGCTTAAGGTTTAGAATTTAGGGCTTCAGGTCTGTGTGTAGGAAATTGAAGGATCAATAACTGAGGGCTCTGGGCCGTGAAAGGTCTGCCTTCACAGGTCCACGTCGGATTCAACCCTGAAGTTCAAGCCCCAAGCCCAGCCAGTCGAGTAAAGCTTAAGGTTTAAAGTAACCCACAACCCTTTCCAAATCGTCAACATCAAATCTGAACCTAAAATTAAAACTTCCATCAAAACCCTAGACCATACGAGATTATTCAGCCGAAGTAACACCAGACGGATGCAGACCCCAACTCGCTCACTGGAACTGCGCTGAATCTTCAAAGTCAACAGCAACGGTGCTTGGGTCCATTGTCGGGGTCCTCATAGTGAGATGCTATGAACCTGAAACCACTGAACCCTAAACCCCTTCAACTTCCCAATCGACAAACCACAACACTCCACTCTCATCCCAAAAAAGCATGAAACCAAGAAGCTAGCTTTTTTGAGAGAAGAAGCCAGGAACATAAGCCCGAAACCCTAAAACCCAAAACCAACGACACACACACACAGCAAGACGGAAACGAATCTCTGCAGCCGAAAGTTCTGGGGAGTCGCTTGGGGCCCGGGATGTGGCGTTTCGCCATCCTGCGAACCCAGGGTAGGCCAGCTTTGCCCCGTATAATATCACACCTACAGGGCTGTGAGGAAGCCTTCTAAGAGACGCGTAGGGCTTTCCGAAAGCCTTCTAGTAGGTTTATAGGGCTGCTGTTTTATTTTAGGAGCTTTCTAAAAGGTTTCTGAAGCTTGTTTAATGAAGCCTGCTAGTTGTTTTATCAGGCTTTTATGAAGCTGTCTAGTTGATTTATCAAGCTATTCTGAAGCTTTCTAGCTTCAACCTTATAGGGCTTTTATGAAGCTTTCTATTAGATTCAAGGCGTTGTTTCTTGTAGGCTTTCTAATAGATTTATAAGGTTTTATGGAGATTTCCAGCAGACTTACTTGTATGAAGCTTTCTATTGGATTAGCAGTTTTTATTGTAAGGCTTTCTACGAATCTTACAGATTATGTATGGGGCTTATTGCGACCTACGGTTCTCAGGAGCCCACGCCTTCCGAAAGGTTCTTTCGCTACTCGCCCGTAAACCGACGGCTCTCGGTTTCGGGTTTAGGGTTTAGGGGTTTAGGGTTTAGGGTTTAGGGGTTTAGGGTTTAGGGTTTAGAGTTTAGGGGTTTAGGGTTTAGGGTTTCTGGTCCCCCAGTGCTGAATCCGTGAGGTTCCATGGGGTTCAGGGACCCGAAACACTTTCCCGACACGAACTCTCCAAACACACGTTAAAGCGAGGTGTCCATGAGATCGGGCGCGTGTGCGCCAGCGCGCCGCAGAGGACGAAGAGGGTCAGGAATCCATAATACCTCAAAGAATTCATGGCTGCACCAACCCATACACAAAAAAACATCCGTACCCTAAACCCAAACCCCATGCCGCATCTCAGGTGCTTGGAGCCATTAGTGCTCGCAACCCGTATAGCGAACGAAGTCTACGAAGTTGCGACGTGGATGTTGGCTGAACAGGGTAACGAATACCCCTTAATTAAGGAATGTACCTTAAATCATAATATGAAGCCGTCGATAATTTAAGCCAGATTCCTTAATTAAGGGTTATTGGGCTCTCTGGGTAGCGACGGGTTTAGGGCTGCGGGGTCAGGGCTGAGGGCCCCATATAGGTCCTCATGATGCGGCTTTGGGGGCTAAGGTTCAGGAGGGCTCGGGCGCCTTGTGAAAGGTCAGGGCTTTCAGGAGCCTCAAAACCTGGGATGAAGGTTGGCAGCATATTGGAGGCTCTCTCTTCGTAGGGTTTAGGGTTTAGGGCATCCCGCCTACCTTCATCGCACCCTTGGAGTCTACCACCCCTCAACCCCAAACCCCAAACCCCAAAACCGAAACCCTAAACCCCTGTACCAGAGGCGCAGCTTGCGCTTTGCCTTCGAAGCTGCAAGGCGCAGTCGGGGAAGGGCTTGAAGGAGAACCACGGGCACGCGTCCTCGGATGAAAGTTGAAGATTTTGGGGATTAGAGTTTGGGGGGGTGGGTTTAGAGATGGGGGGCTTGGGGTTTGGAGTTTGGGGTTATCCTAAACTCGACATCCTAGACCCTGAAGGCCACACCGTATAGCCTGAAACCCTGCAAGTACACGCTCCTGCACAGCAAGTCTTCGAAAACCGCCAACGCAAACTCTTGTGCGCTTGCACACTCAGAACACTCAAACTTAAGAGCTCTGTTGCATGGAACAACTGAATCTCTTAATGGCTTGCTGGGATACTGTGCGTTCGAAATGGGCCACTGACCACAGACCGCACACAATTTTCGGGGTTTCGGGCATCGAGGTCGGATGCCAAAGTGCCAAGGTTTGATGGCTTCCTGTTTAACACAGTTCTCAAGGTGCAAGCATTCTGAATGTGAAAGTCAATGAGAGCTTGGAGCTACGGCTTGAGGAGGGCTGTTGTCAAGCATGAAAAACTGAGAACTGCGATGTCACCTATGTTTGCCATTAAACGTAAGTTGCTTTCATGGCAACGAAGGATGCTGACAACCATTGATAGCACTCATCAGCGCTCGCATGGCCAGGCTGATGAGTTTGGTGCCGACCCGGGATCTCCAAGCCAGGGTTTAGGGTTTCGGGTTTAGGGTTTCGGGTTTGGGTTTAGGGTTTAGGGTTTAGGGTTTAGGGTTTAGGGTTTAGGGTTTAGGGTTTAGGGTTTAGGGGACCCCAGAATCCAACTCCCCCAAAAGCAGCAAGGCGGCCACTCCCGCCTGAAATCCTGGCAGCCAATGTGAGATCTCCTGCCCCGCACCACAGGTGCTCGGGACCGCTGCTCGGGACGTTCAGGAAAGCAAAGTTGGGGTTTTGCAGCATTTTTGGAAGTCTACGTGCAGCTGACGTGCAGAGGCTCTGACGGATCCCGATTGGCGTACTGTAGCATTACATGTTGAAATGAACAACATAAAGCACACCACTGTTGCGACACGCGCCTGGATCCTAAAAAGACAAGCATAGCATCAGCCCCAAGCTAGCCAGAAAACGAGGCGATCAACAACCTGCAATCGGTCCTGCTTTATGCTAAACCGTGGATGTGTACATTGCCACTGCATGGCCTCGTGACTTTGCGAATTGAAATCCACTCCACCCTACAAGCTTGCATTCAAACAAGTTAAGGAAGGATGCTGATGGCATGCCGCATGAATTAAACATTCATAAGCCGACCCAACACTGAGAAAGCATTTGTCCTTATCAGCCCATTCAGGCCTTGAACACCGGAAGCAACAACATCTGACCGTAGCCCGTCGAAGCTACGACAGCTTGTTTCGAGGTGCTTGTCAGTCAAACATGCACGACGCATTCTGAGAACATGCGGACCGCAAATGCTGTAAACACGCGGTTTGTGAAATCCGGTGTCGGCCTATCACGACTCGACCCATGCTGTGGAATGTTGCATGTTTGATTGCAGAAGAGGTCGAAGAACAACTGTAGATCGACATCCACAACTATTTTCACGATCAAGACAATTACTTGGCTCAATATCTACACAACAAACGGGTACTTCCAAGTGTTTATCGTCTCGGGTGGTGGGAGTAAGTGGCCACACGCAAGATGATGACCGGGTGTTAAAACAGTGCACACAGAGCGGTCATCCAAACCAGTACCCGTTTGGCTTTAATCGGCTACTGAATCGGCATCTGATCTCATTCGAACTCCAAGCGAGCTTGGAGACACTGCAGACGGCAGAAACAAACTCGAGACAACTTAAACAAGCCAGAAACGCGTGAAGAAAGCATAACAGGCCAGTGGCTGAAAAAATGGGATTGGAGCAAAAACATCGCTTTGATTGCCGTGGTCTCCTGCCTCTCTTGGCATGATGGTGAGACGGCGAGCATGTGGGCGGCTTCAAAAAATGGCGGTTGACTGCGTACTCCTCATATATGTACTGATTTCGCCTATTTAACGTGTTGGCATAAGGAGCAAATGCACGTGCCGTGTATGCTTCCCAAATGAACGTGTTCGTGTACAACAAGGATTTTGCCTAGGTCCCCCTACTCTGCCGTGCCAATGTGCCGAGTCTAGCTGGTAACTTACTTGGCGTAGCGGTTCTTGTCGGGGCGAACGCATACTATGTCCAGACTAGTAGATAGTATCGTTCTATAGAGGCATCTAAGGAACAGCATTACGAGGAATTTCGACCCTGCGCGCTGTAGTCAATCTCTAAATTAGGGTCCCATATAGGGGTCCTTGTTACAAGGGTGCCATACTATTTTGGGGACCTGAAACGGGACTGCAGTTTAGAGAACCGCCCATGTACTATGTAGGTTTGGGGGCTTAAGGCTTAGGGCTTAGGGCCCACACGTGTGCGATGTAGAATTAAATGCTAAGCCCAAGAGCCCGACACTTAACCCACACACTCCCATCAACCCAGCACAGTCCCGGCAGAGGCCATGGCCCACACAGTTCGCCTCTCCTCGGCTCGATGCGAAGGGGGTATACAAAGATACAGGTGGGCTCTGCTTTGCACCAAAGGTTGTAGGTGCATGTATGCGTGTATGCACATGTATATGTACATAATACACAATTGCAAGTATACGCGAAGAGCCAAATCGTCATGCGGCCATGCTAGTAGGAATGTCGTTTGCGGGGCAAACCCAGAGAGTGGCAAGACTTGAGAGCTTCCGAAAACTAGGGGTACCGTATGACCGTATTTTGGAGTCGTTACCATAGGGATTCAACTATTTCGGGTACGGTATTAGGGTCCCCTATTTTCGGAAACTCCCACATGTGAAGAAAGATACTGTGCTTGGTGCAGCTGTCTTGTGCTCCTTCAGCCATGGTGCTCGTCGCACTTGGAAACCGTCTGACACGAGGGCTTTAGGCTAGGGCTTAGGTTTAGGGCCTAAACGTTTAAGGCCTGGGGTTTCGGATTTAGGGTTTCTTTTATGTCCAGTAGCCCCTTTCTCTCGCAGAAGCTTGCTCTACAGAGCTTGAAGGTCTCGGGTTTAGTGTCTAGGAGTCTAAGGTTCAGGGCAAAAGAATTGTGCCCCCGCACCCAAAAACGTCACTAAGACCGAAAGTTCTTCCCCAGCCCAAAAATGTTGCACCCCGAAACTTAACTTTGATAAATGGCTCTACCCCAACCCCCAACATTTTGGCCTCAGCCAGTCCGCAGCCTTTCTCAAGAAAAGATCCCCCCCCCCAAAAAAAAAAGACCCTTCCACCCCGAAGCCCCCGAATTGCAAGAGTTTGACGGCCCGACCCTACTCCCAACATCTCGGCTCCCAAATCCAGAAAAAAAAACGTAATCCCAAAAGCCCCCCAACCCGACAGTGATTTTCACCAGTACCAGCATGAGCGAAGCCGGCCAATTTACGTAAGCCGGTTCTTCCTTTCCTTCCTGCCTACATGCTGCTCTTCGACAATAACCTACAGTGGAGCACAAAGCGCCAAGATAGGACATGTACATGCCGAACTATGGGACTCCGAGAACAAGTGACAAGAGAGCGCGACTATCCGAAACTCCAAAGACTTAAAGAGATGGATTCGAGTTCAAAGACACCACTTGTCAGGAAAACCATACGTATTACGCCGTATACATACACTGACAGTCGTTTACCAACTGAGAGAATAGATCCTTACTTCACGGTCCTTGCAACAGGGTTCATACTTTTTAGGGCCCCTGTTCAACGACCACCCTTTATTTCCTGGAGTGTAAGGTTTTGGATTTCGGAGATGTTTATCTTTTTGGCCACTCGGGCTTAGGGGTTTAATGGGTTCAGGGGTTTAGGGGATAGGGGTTAATGGGGTTTAGGGCATAAGGGTTTAACTCCCTAAACCCTAAACCTAGAGGGCCCAGTCTCCGCTGCTCCCCAGGATCGAGCATGGCAGTTGCCCAACCGGCCAGTAAAACATCGCGTACTTCGAGACCTTAGAGTCGCGGTTTAGGGATTGGTGGAATTCCTTACCCAGAGACTCCAATATCCCTTAATTAAGGAATATTCCTTAAATCATATTAGGGATCCTATTATAATTTAAGGTATCTTCCTTAATTAAGGGGTATTGGACTCTGGGTACCATGAGGAGCCCGTGGGAGGGAACTCTCTGCCTGACAAGGGAAGTACCACATACCATGGGTTTAGGGTTTAGGGGTACCTGATGGCCCTTTATCACCGGAATGCTCCTCGAGTTCTACTAGGCAGTCCTCTTAACCTTAAGCCCTGATGAAGGGATATTGGAGTCTCTGAAGTTCTTGAACTGGTCATGGCTTGCTTCGGGTGTTTGGAGTTGGCTTTGGGTTTGGGTCGATTTATTTGTTGGTCCAATGCAATGCACCTACGAGGACATCCATACAATCCTGTCTTGTCTTGCTCATCATGTCAGCATAGATAACACAATACACAGAAACCCTATCAAAAGCACTGATCTCTAAGATCCTACTTCCGAGCTTGCGCTGCAAAAGCATCCCGTCACCCGAAAAGCGGCCACGCCACACTCTTGAAGTAGGAGTTCATGGAGAAGTTCCAAATCGGCGTCATCGCAGCTGTAAAAAGAAAGCATGCCCATAAGAAGATCAGGATCACGACCAGCCACAGGCATCGGGAAGTCGCACACAGCGAAGTCGAAGGACGAGTTGCAGAAGCCGAGCTTGCGCTGCCGCTGCTGCCTGGAGCAGCTGTGGGTCAGAGCTTCAGACATGGGGCTTAGGATCGCGATGAACATGGCGGATGATTCGACACATATGACGCGAGCGACTACTGCCCAAAAATCTACTCAAAGAAACTCATTCGGCCTTCAAGTTCAAAGTTGCCACTGCTCTCAGAGTTGGTTTCCACGTCCGAAGTCTGAGCCGGCGCCCAGTGCCAAGGGTGGAGCACATTTTGTAACACAAGGACCAGTGCCAGCGCCAGCGGCCCGAAAACAAAGACTGCGCTGTAGCCTAGGAACACCATCCAAACGTCGATGGTCCATTCGTCGACGGACTTCGTCCGGCCGTCATCGTACCTTAGCCGCCCTTAGAACCAGAGTAAAAAGAGTAGGGTTTAGGGTTTAGGGTTAATCCACTGAAGTTTTGAGATATAACAAATGCAACATAATTCCTAAGAGCAGTAAAGGTGCGTCTGGTAAGTCTCCCAAGGCTTGGCCAGCAAGAGGAGGGCTCCCAAAGCACCGGCGAGGCAGAGGAGCCCCAAGAGCACCAGAGCCCCGATCCCCTCCAAACGGCTGTGCTTCATGGCCGCACTGCGGATGGCCGCGGTGGCTGCATGTTCAATGAACCCTATACCTGGGCACTTGTGAAGGAGTTTAATTTGAGTTACCATAAGAAAACAACCATAATATTTACGAGAGATCCCTGTTATAGCAAGAACCCAGACACTGGCAAAGGCAGCCATGATGGCAAAGACAGATGCGACCCACTCGCCCCAATTGAAGCAGCCGGTGTATCCAATTGCCCGTCCTTGTGGAGATGTGCATGGCTTGTTGAACGCATAGCCCACAAAGGACACGGCAGCAGCAGCCATAAATCCAGAAACCAATGCTCCAGTCCTTAGCAGCAACAAGCAATTCGATGAAGCAAAACAACAGAGGTGCCACAAAAAAAAAATTGTGGTGCAAGACTCCTGTAAGCAAACCGCTCACGCCATGAGCCCTGCCATTAGGACTTTCTCGGCCCACTGCTGGTGCCGTGCCAGTAGCGCAACTACGTTGGTCAATAAATCGTGCTCTTGAAACGTGTCTGTCAATCGAACGACTCTTCTCTGGGAGTTAACACCAGAGAGCTGTTAATTCATTTACTTTACTTCAATGACATCCCTATCAACAGAAAGCATTTTATCTTGATGTCGGAGTTACATTATCTTATTACATTAACGCGCGAGTCTTAACTGTCCAGCAAGGTGCAGCATCAGCCGCGACCATCGCTTCTCCGCGTCGGCTGCACGAGCTTCTCCAGATGCTTGCTTCATGGCTCAGGCGTGGTCAAAGCTAAACGCAGAAGCTACGGTCTAGGTCTGCGAGTCTACGACTCTGCGACTTAGGCTTCAGGCTTCAGGATTTCCCGTCTAGACCCAATACCCGATGTGGAAGCTGCGGACTCAAACAGGTTACAGCATAGATGTGCCCAGAATGCAGCTCTGTGGAGATGTTGCGGGGGCAATGACGATTCCTGCTTTCCAGCCCTGGCTGCGGATGGATGCTGAACCTTGATGAAGAAGCGCTGTCCAGCTGTGTTTCTCCATCTTGAACAAAATTGCACGGCGCACCTACAGAGCCACCCCTCTGGCTCATGGCCGACGCTGATGACTTCCGTCGATTTGGCAGCCGTCTGCAATTTCTTGCCGCGGGAACTACATCGAAAGTCACACGAGAAAACAGCTTCAAGATCTCGGATTCACATTTACAGGATCATGGGGCTTAGCAAACAGGGTTGTAAGTACGGGCACAGGGACTAAATCTATTTCCAACCTTGATCGAACTACTTACATTGCCATTTATTTAGTCCCTCAGGTTGAAAGAAAGGTCCAAGCAGGAAAGAAGGCCGGCGGCTGTTGGTCTGCCTAACACCCTGAATCCTGACATGTGGGCTGATGATGCCCGCACCAAACCGTAAGGCCGTTTACCCCCTGCGAGCCCAAAATTCCCAAACCATGCCGAGCTCTAGAAGAATGTCCCCAAACACCGTCGAGCTCGGTCCAGGCTTTGAAAGATGACGGTTGCAACTTGAAGACCCATAGGCTCACACAGGACTTAGACTTTGAATGTTTACACTAGTTGCGGCTTAGGGTTGGACTTTGCGGCTAAAATCCCCTGATCAGGATCGACGGTTCGGGCCCTAAACCCTAAACCCCTAACCCCTAAACGAAAGCGGACGCCTTCGTTTTTCTCTGTCCGACGCGGAACCAGATCTTGGCTACGGCTCACAGCCTGAACACAGGACGAATGACCAATTTTCGTCTGTTGAGCTTCTGGGCGGATTTGCTGTGTAGAGCCATGGGTCTGGACTTAAGCAAGAGTTCAAGAGTTTGGGCTCAGGGTCACGGTCGTTCAAGCAATAAAGTCGGAGATGGTGTCACGAGCATAGGAAATTCGTCAGATTCTGGAGAAGCCCTGCATCCCTACACCCGTTCAAGCAGCAGGTTTCCTGCTGCGCCAGCCCGACACGGTTGGCTTTCGTTTGTGCTAGCCAGGTCTACTGACGTCCCATCCATGCCTGGAGCGTAAACTGTCCTGATCTGGGAGTTTCCTAAAATAGGGGACCCTAATATAGTGCCCTGAATAGTAGCAACCTTATTTATAAGGACCCCAAAATAAGGTACTCCCTAATTTTCGGAAACTCCCATCTGGTCTCCGCTAGGATCTTCCTCTGGGCAGCACCTGAACCCTGCAAAACGGTATGGATACCCAGAGAACCCAATACCCCTTAATGAAGGAATATACCTTATATCATAATATTAAGCCCTCTATAATTTAAGGTATAATCCTTCATTAAATCTCCTTAAGGGGTAATGGGATCTTTGGGCACGTGTGCAGGCTGGCACGGTCTCCGAATGTCTACAACAAAGACACGGGTGCGGTATCCGGCAGCCTACCTGTGAATATGTGAGCCGCAGCAGGAGTGATTGACTTCGTAGGCCCCGGGAACGCTTAAGTGAGTTTACGAGGGATGAGAGAATGACATCGAGGGATCGAAGCTGACCAAGTCTAGTACACAGTGGGACCGACTCAATCAAGCAGCACAGCAAGCTGAACTATGAGATGGAATGAACACACCAGCTTGGCTGACTGTAGAAGAGCCCTATGCGTTCGGGCGCAAACTGTCAACATAGGATTACAAATTGCTATGCAATACCTCATCTCGAGCAAGCCCCAAAACGGTCCCAAAACACGACCCCGACGAGCTCGCTTGGACTGTGGCTCGGTCGAAATGGAAGCTCGAGGCCATACGCGAGCCTCGCAAGATGCCGGAGAAGATTGAGCACTAACAAGCAGATGGAGATTGTGGGTGCTCGGCTCGAAGGGTTGGTCCAACATGGTCCAACTATCATGGTTTCCGGGTATGAAGTAAAGCTTGAGGCGCAGGCTGGGCGGTGCTGAATCGACTTCTCTGAAGGATCACCACATGACGCTACGACCTGAGACATGAGCATGCGTGCAGGCACAGCAGCCCTGCTGGTTATACGGCAAGACTTGCCGGCAGGCAAACTCCATGCTCATGGAGTCGATTTGCAGCGCAGCCTGATCCTGAAGGGACCTCGTGAACCCGCACGATGCGGAAGCGCTCCTGTAACCAGTGTGATGGCAGGTCTTGTGGTGACTTGTGGGTGCTGCTGTCCACGGTCGTGGAGGTCATACGAGTCATGCGATTGTGAAGAGAGTAGTGGAACGCAAACTGGTCGTGGTCGGCAGGCAAGACGGTGAAGCGCTGCCATGTCCAATGGCCCTTCAAGTCAGACACAGCGTAGTGATGAGAAGCCCCCATGGTTGCACCCCTCATTTCTAGGAAGCGGTTGTGGGCAGCGTTGTGGAAGGCCACCTGACCATTGGCCGCATCCACGACGGTGAAGCGCTGCCACATCCAGTCGGCTGGCAGCCGCTGTCCGGACTGCGCTGCAGTCCAGCCCCATTTATCGAGATGTAGCGGTTGTGCACGCCGCAATGCAGGGCCACCACGGTTCCGGGCTGCAAGTAGGGCTTCCCCAGCACCACTTGGAAATGCTCCGACATCCATCCCCTGATCCTTTAAGTAGCCCTTCTCTGACATGCAAGCCCGAAGCCCAATGACCCCACCGAGTTGCCAGAGAAAAGTGTTTCAACAGCCTGGGAGGCTATGGGAAGCGCTGGGAAGCCTTAGCAGGGATTCCCAAGGGCCCGGCCTCTAAGCCGTAGCTTATAAGCCCCTTCACCCTGCGAGGCAGTGCCTGAAGAACTGCGTGCAAACGAAGAGCCGCCCGGCAAATCAGGGTGACGATTCCTTGTGCGGGGTTTTCAAGGTATTAGGCCGCAGGGTTTGGGGTCTGGGCTTACGGTTTGCAACAGTGTACTACTGTACCCCAAATGAGGGGTTGAATGGCGTGCAGACGTCAACAAAGTCAGGGTAGCACCAGGTCACTAGGATCCCCAGATTGCGACTTGACAGCTTCGGCCTTTCCGGGGTTTGGTTTAGGGCTCAGGGGTTTAGGGTTGAGGGTTTAAGGTTTAGGGCTGGAGACCCTACGCCCGAAGCCTTTGGAGGCCCTGGCAGGCCTGGGAGCCCTGCACGGCGAAACCTAAGCCCACCCGACAAAAACCCGAACAAAGACTGAAGCCTTGCAGGGCAATGAAAGGCAGCCTAAGGGCACCCTTAGGGTTGGGGAAATTAAAGGAACCCCAAACCTAAATCCTTAAACCCTCCAAGGCCGGAACGAAGACGAAGAAGGAGGAGGATAAGAAGCGGACCTGAGCGAGAAGGGCTCAGGGCTGAAAGGAGCCAAAAGAGGGAGGGGAAGGAAGGGCTGCACACTACTGCACACTCACTGCCTGACCTGAACCCGCCTGCAACCCCCCTAAACAAAACCTTGAAGTACGGCGCACTCAGACACTACCTGACCTGCACTGCTCGGGAAATCCGTTCCCCCAACATCTCGTCTTTGTGGTATTATCGAGACCGCCGTGTTTTCGCAAGCAGACTGGACATAAGTTTGCGCTATTGGCATTTAAACTCGCAAGAGCCAGCTGCAGAATCACAGCCCACCTCCTGCGTTTGCCTCAGCCTCACTGGGCCAAAGGCGAAACAAACAAAAACGACTGCATCTGCTTCCTCGAGCGAGCTCCATGTTGACGAGTCAGGCACTTGCGAAGGCCTCGGGTCTTCAGCGTAGAAAATCCCAACCCGATTGTTTTTTTGATTTGGCACACTAAAGACTTCTTGACAGTAATGGCATGCACGAAAAGAGCCGAGAAGCTCTGTCTGACGCATGCTGACAGTTGTCGGTAGCCAAGTTGTACGATCCACTGTCCTTGGTATAAGACTTCGCAACATTTGCTCGAGAATTCGACGAACCCTCTTTCTCGCGAATCGTGCGGTCGCCCATCTTCTCTCGGACCTTCCCGTCGTTGGGCTTGTTGGCTGACTGCGTCGAGTAGTTTCCACGACCGTCTTTGTGGTGCTCAACTTTGGTCCCAAAGCGCCCATCAGTCTCCACATGCGTGTGCCCAGAAAAAGAGCCTGACCCCGAGCTTCTTCGAGACGAACTTGCACTTCCGGAGGATCCCATGCTGGTGAGCACAGCTGGCGATTGCACTTCTTCTCGGAGACGCTTTTGAGCCCGAGCTGGTCTTGCAAGACGCGGAAGTGCACACACAAGACAACCCGCCTGCAACCCGAACCGACGTTGAAAGTCTCTGAAGCCTGACCTGAGGTCCCGACGCTCCGCCCGCTCTGCGTCCGCCGTACAGGCCAAAAACGGCTGTGGCGGAAGCAAACAAGTTCACAACAACTCAAGATAGACAAAACACGCTCCTGCAAACGCAAAACCATGCAAAATACAATCAAAATGTTCATGTAAATACAAAATCAAACAAGATTCTTTAGGAACTTTTCAATAGACTGTTTGCGTAGAAACCGTGAGTAGGCCTGCTCGCCCCAAGCCGCAGTGATTTTTGCAAATGTTTTCATTTCACCAAACAACGCAACAGCCACAGCACAACAGCCAACGGCAGCGCAGCTGCAGCTCACAGCAGGAGAGTTTTCCCGTTAATTTACCATGTATTAACACAGTGCATTGTGGCACCTCTACACGTCCGACCCATTTCCAAAGTAGATCCAATCAAAACCCAATCGCACTCAATCTCGTTTTCTCGAATGGAGTTGCAGCCAAAACACCCATAACGACATTCCAACCATACAATTGCACATCCAACATTGCTTCTTGTGCCTAAATGCACTTGCTAGAACTCCGTGGACGTACCTCATGGACTGTAGTTCTCC